CAATTTCTTCGGTGAACAGTGAGGAGTTCACTTGGTCCACTTCCTTGCGCAGGGCGTCCTCCAAATCTCCTCCGACATTTAGGCCTTGGAGTCGATATTCACAAGCCTCTCGATGTTTTCCACTCACAATGCTGGTGGCTCTTGCTGAGGATATCTATAATGTCCACGTCGCTGGTCAACCTCCGTATCGGCTAACAGGGGTTGTTCTCTTCGACTAGCATGTCGGCGTGGTGTATTGGTTGATTGGGCTTGCAAAAGGTTTCTCCACAACATATGGCCTAGAATATGCTCTTCTTGTTCGAATAGGTGATTGCCTTCCTTCACGTTCCCTATGTGGATGGTTGCGCAGTTGGTCTCCCTGTGGGCTTAATCTCGAACGGATGCTTCCCTACGAGCCTAATCGGGTGTGGACATCATATTGTGCCCCTAATCTTGAGTGCACATTAGTCTGTGGCCCTAGTCTTGAACGAGCGCTCATCCTGCTCTGGTCCCATCTCACGAATGCTCGTGATATTCCAGCATGCTGGTCAACACGTTCTTGTCTTCCTTCCTACCTGATGGTCCTTACTTGATCTCTTCGGTATCTTTCAAGCTGTCTTTTGGTGCGTTCACCCATCCTTCTTTCTTCATCATCGAACCTTGGTCCTAAGTCTTGAACCAAGTTAATCTACCTGAGTAGCCAATCAACCAAATTGCTTTGGTCCTCGACTCTCCTAGTTAGCTCGTCGACGTTGCAATTGACGTATGCTTGGCTATTTGGGAAGGCAAGAGACAATTGTGTGGAGCCAAGTTGATGACAACCTAGGGCTTCTTCGGAAGAACGAATAGGTGCAACATTTAAGGGTTGTGGAGGCAAAGGTGGGTGCGGCAACACCTGCTCCAAGAACGGTCCAAGCTGGGCAGCATCGGTGACATGGGAATTGCTAGTCTCGACGACGGTACCATGGGGACTTGGTGCCACAGTAGAGTTTGTGGACGCTGTCTTGCTCCTCGTCGTGATAATTTTCACCATGGTTGTTTCAAATGCTTCGAATGGATTTGATAAATGGAAAGGAAACGGATTTCCTTATTCGAATTTGTGAGAGCTTCGCTTTGAGCATATTTCGAGGCTCTCAATGAAAGCACCAAAATGTTTGTGCAAATTTCCTTCTAGGAGAATATTTGCGGATGAATCTTCTCTCTCAAACGTTCCTTTACTAGATTCCCTGCAAGACAAATGGTGCTCAACGAAGAACCACCAGTGTTGTGAGGGCCAAGGGCCCTTTGATGCCTATGTCAGTAATTATGGGCTCAGAAGATACAGATAATACTGGAAGGATGGAGAGTTTCTCTACGGGAGAGATATGTGGCTTGGGAGTCGAGTAGGTAAAAGAGGTGACGACAGCTTGAGCTGGTCGGCCATGAGTATGAGAGTAGGGGAGGATTTCGGCTAGAGAGAGAGAGAGAGAGTAATTTTCGGGATTTTCCAAGTGAGGAAGAGTTTTGTCAATTATCCAAGTATTAGAGCTAATACCTAGAAGAGTATCAGAGACATACAGATGGGCAGACAGAGTTGGGAAATCCGTCTCTCCTTGGGTCACAGTATAAGCAGCTTTAGGGCCACAGATACAAGCTTTGTAGTCAGCAAACCAATCAGGGTAATCATGCTCCTTAAAACACTTCTCGAAATAATGATCACCACCACAATGACTATACTTACGAGGTCCTTGAAGGGAACTAAATTTGGCATAGGCAAAACCAGTAGAACGAGACCCATAAGAGGAGTGGGATGACTGGGTAGATGGGCGACCGGTCGAGTCATGACGAGCAACATGTCATGAGCGGGCAGAATCCACTTTGAGGGTGGCAACTCTTCCAAGCATAGCAGATTGACGAATGTCCTTCTCCATCACCATGGCATAAGCTTCCAACAGAGATGGAACAAGATTGAGAGCAAGGATTCTGCTACGAATACCATTATACGGCGAATCAAACCCTCCAAGAAAATCATAGACTCGATTGACATCAATTTCTTTTTTACGACGAGCCACATCATCAGGATAGGTAAGTTCATTAGGACATAGACAATCAATCTCCTACCAGAAGACATGGAGTTTTTCATAAAACACTTTCATAGAATCACCTTTTTGAGAAGTAAAAATGAACTGCTGTCAAAGTTGAAACAACTGAGAACTATTCTGAGTCACCTTATAGGTCTTACGAGTGTCCTCTAACACATCAAAAGCAGTTGCACACTGATCAAACAAGGCACGAACTGGTTTAGTCATGAAATTGAGAAGCCATGACTGCACCAAACAGTTATCTTCTTCCCATTCAGCATAGTACTCTAAATGAGGAGTTTTCTTTCCATTGATGAAGCTCGCCATACGACGCCCAGTAATCGTAAGGCGTGCACCACGAGACCAAGCGGCATACTTGGAGCCATCCAACTTGTCATGAGTAATAGGAGCAAAGTAGTCACCTAAAGGGTGATCCTCCTTCCTCCCAAAAGCACTAGCCTTCTGGACAATCTTGGAATCGTCACCCATGATAGCAACAAAAACACCAAACAAGAGCAAAGGCATACGGCAACACAACGCACAAACCCAATAAGGTACACACACAGCACAGATAGAACAAAAAGATAGGGCTAGAACACGGGTGGGCACAATAAACAGGTCACCAGAAAGTCGGCTGATGCCAAGTCAAACAAGTATGGGGTAAAATATTTTCTGATATATTTTCATTCTCCAAAATTAGGTATTTATAATACAAGTGTGTAAACCCTAGTAGGGTTATATAAGGAAACAAATAAAATCCTAACTACACAAGATTTGTACAAAAGAGAAAGAAATGTGCTCTTCAACACATTTATAAAGAAAGAAATGTGGTTGCTAACTGTATTGCTCAGTGGAGCTACAATCTGGACTTAGGTGTTTGTCTTCTTGATATGGCTCCGAGTTAGATTGGTGCTAGCCTTGTTGATGATCTGCTTGGAGTCACTAGGACTCGGCTAGTCTGTAGTGAGTAGTTGTTGTGTGTCCTTGGGGTTTTAACCCCCCCAGTTCATTAAAAAAAAAATTCCTAATAGAATAGGAAATAAATCTCCTAATCAAACTAGGATCTCGCCAACACTTTCCTCATACTTACATGGATTAGTTGTGTCTCATGAAAAAAGGACTCGTGTCCTTATTATGTTTTTTAATTCAAATATTTTTTTAATATAAAGTATTGATAATTTACTATATTACCCACATTTAATAAATATTTTCTTTAAATAAGAGCATTGTTTTCCCAACAAAAAAACTAATAAGAGAATTTTTTAGTATTTTGAATGTTTTACCATTCTCTAGTTCTACCTTTATTTTTATTTTTATTTTTGCTAGATAGCTCTACCTTTACATAGCAATGTCACTCGCTTTACACATTTCTTATTGTTTTCCTCCTCAGTTCCCATGCAGCAATACATCGTGAAGTTAAGGAACAATCTCCGCCGATATAGGAAATACTGTTGTACAGTTTTCTAATTTGGCAAAAAGCAGTGCCACAATTTGAAAGAAATGAAATGAGATTATCCTCATTGTGTAACAACAAAGCTAAATTTGAACAACCAAAGCAGATTTGTACTTGATTTGTGAAAATAAATACTATGGCATGAGACCTTTGAAAAGAAATTTAAAGTAAGCACTATATCTTACGTGCAGCGGTGGAAGAGGAGAAACTCGGATACCATGCGAAGATGAGAGCATGCTCTATGATTTTGAGTTTTTGTACAAGAATATTAATTGCTTCAGTCAAATCCCTGTGTTTGGGACTATTTTCAATCCATGGGAATTATGCTTAATTAGGAGACAGTTAGTACTAATTTAGAATTAATTTTTATATTTTTATATTTTTAATTAAAATAATTGATGTTCGAAAGAGTTACGCTTCACCTTGCGGGATCAAAAACGTCTTGCCCCAACGCCTTGCGTTTTAAAACCTTGATCATCCGTACGAACCAAAACATCATGAATGTAGCTTGCTTCATACCATGTTCATTTGGAAATCCCCTGCAACAGCAATTGGCGGTGTTGTGAAAATCGCATTGCCAAAGTAACTAGGAAAGAGTGGGGATTGCAGTATTGACCTTCCATTAGTGGCAATATATAGTTTGGTGATCAAGGGGGAGGTCACGTGCGTTGCTGCACATCTCCAAACGATGATAACCTCTGCCAATTTGAGAGTCGTTGGCACTCCTCATCCCTCACCCATAATGGGTCTTCATCTTGTATGGTTATTTTTCTTTTATTCATTCTCTTTGCTCTCTTGAGCTCCCTTTCAAATATCTCTCTATTTTCTTTATGGCTTTGGCGCATGAGCCTTTCTTTCTCTTCCTTTTATTTATCTACCCTTCAATCACAGCATCATTTTCTCTCCTTTCGGTTCCAGCACCTCCTCTTTCTTCCACTAGTTTCATTTTAAAATTTGCCACATGACTCACATGCTTTAGCTCTCTATCTCTTGAGCTCTTCCTTTCTTTTCCATTATTTCCTCTGTTGCCCACGTGATGGGTGTCTTGTCTGCACCCCAATATCCCACTTTCTTATTTGCTATTCCTTTTTTTATGTATTCGTGCTTTCAGTTTTTTTTCTTCTGTTCGACTCGTGACCACTTCCATTTTCTTATTCATATTCCCTTTTTTATTTTATGGTTTCTTTTCTCACCACTTTGTGATCTCTCTCATGTGCTTCTCTGGCACTACTCTCCTTTCCTGATCTCTTTTATCTTTTTTTTTTAATTTTCCTCCCCAACTTACAGTCACGAGGGGCATCCAAACCCCAAAAGAAAGAAAAAAAATATTGTTTTCCAACTCAGAGCCTTCTCTTTTTTTTTTCACAACTTTTTCAATTTTTTTTTTTCACACCACATTTCTTCAACCTTTTCGGTGGGTGTCAAGTTTTCTGTCTTCCTCTCCCGCCAACCACATGTCTTTACCTTTTTTTTTTTTTTTTGGCGAAGGAGGAACTCATTGATAACAATTAAGAGGAAACAACAATGTCATCTTTCACAATTAATTCAAGGCAGAAGGGAACCTCTTCAATCCAAGTCACTATAGTATTACAATTAAGTGCATGCTTTGCTAGAAAATGAGCTACTTGATTGCACCCCCTTGGACTAAAAGAGATTGTAACATCTTCAAAATGTTGCAGACTCCTCTTAATATCATCAATAAGATGCCCATTTGATGCCCACGACTCTTCCTCATCCTTCTTTACAGCATTTACCACTCCTTGTGAATCAAACTCAATTAGAATAGAAGAAAAGCCAGCATCCCGAGCAAATTTTATCCCGAAATGAAGTGCCATGATCTCTGCATATTTAGGTGAGGTGGCGGTGGCAAGAGGAAGGGCCATAGCCGCCATCAGTTCCCCTTTGTCATTTCTAACAACATCAACAATTCCACCCACATATGTTTCGGGAATAAAAGCAGCATCAACATTCAGTTTACATTTACCAACAGGAGGAGGAGACCATTTGGTTGGTTTCTCTACAATTAATTTAGGTTCACCTTTCACAAGACCTCCATATTCCTCAGTCAAGTAATTAGCTCTTTTGAAAATCGCCTCCTGTGCACAAGAACGACCTTCAACAACAACTTTATTTCTGTTTTGCCATAAGTTCCAGCAGATGTATAAAAACAAGCGCATTTCATATTTCGAAAGATACATAGTGGCAACTTCAAATAAATCCTCATAGTTGGAAAAGTGTACCCCCTGTAAAAACCCCCCTGAACTGCAATTTTTTCCAAACTTTTTGGGCACTAGGACAACTCCATAAAGCATGAATTATACACTCTCAGAATTCACATTACAAATGGCAGGAGTCATCAGAGATTATTTTCCTTTTCAGCAAATTAGATTTACAAGGAAGATAATTTTTAATAGCTCTCCAATTAAAATATATGAGTTTTTTTGGTACCTCTTGGGACCAAACTTTTCTCCATAAAGCACTTAGTATTCTTGGTTCCGAAGAGGATCCAATAGCCCCACTACACTCCTTTTTCTTTGACATCTCCAGCCTATATCCACTTTTCACATAATAAATTCCATTAGTAGTATAATGCCAAATCCATCTATCTTTGTGATAATTAACACTCAAAGGGATAGAGGTAATAGCCTTAACATCTTCCTCATGAAAACACAAATTTAGTAAATCAACATTCCAATTCCCAATAGGAAAAATAAAAGCACTTACTTTAGTTTCTTGATCCAACACTTGAGGGGAAATAGGGCGGAAAGAGTTAGGTCTAGGAATCCAAGCATCACCATAGACTAGAGTTTCTTGTCCATCTCCAATTATGGTTATGTTCCTTCCTTTACTCTAATAGTCAACAGCACACCTCTCTTCATCTCTCTCTTGAGTCTCCTTTTTTGTCCTTTCACTTTGTCTTCTTCCAAATCTCGACCCTCTATGAGCCTCAGATTTGAGGGGGAGATGGACACACTGTCACATATTAGCAATATCTGCAACTGATGTATTACACACAAGCAGCATCTTCTCCATCAGCTGCATGTTGCAGCATCTTCAGCATAGATGGGCCATCTCCATCATCAATAGCTATTGACGTGAGTCTCCTAATTAATCAAGGAAATTTATTTCCTTGATTAATTAAGGGATTTACTTTCTTATTTTATATAATTGACAAATCATTGTATAATTAGGAGATACTATCCTAATTAATTACTGTATCTATTTCCTTGTAAAGCACTCATGTAAACTCCTATATATACCTCCTTATGGAGAAGAATAAAACTTAACCAAAAGTATTCAAACCATATTCATATTTTAGCATGGCATCAGAGCAATCAATCCTAGGTTGTCTTTAAACCTTCATATCAAATTTCTCATATTCCTGTATCTATTTCCTTGTAAAGCACTCATGTAAACTCCTATATATACCTCCTTATGGAGAAGAATAAAACTTAACCAAAAGTATTCAAACCATCTTCATATTTTAGCATGGCATCAGAGCAATCAATCCTAGGTTGTCTTTAAACCTTCATATCAAATTTCTCATATTCAAATCCAAAACCCTAAGTCAAATTCCTCATATTTAAATTCCTCAAAACCAAATCCCTCAAATCTAAAGTCCTCAAATCCTCTTATCAAAATCCCTAAACAGATACCCTCAAATCTTATATACATACCTCTCACATCAAATTCATACATAATATTCCTCAAATCACTTTCCTCCAATCAAATTCCTCACATTCTTATATCACATCTTACTTCCGCTGCGATGTCAGGACCTCCTACGATTCTCTTCCTTATTGCAAACTCACAAAAGCATGCGGCCAATCCTGCTGACCCGGCTACCTAGACTCGTGCTTCTATTGCCACCACCAAAGGTTCTGCTTTTCATACGTCCTTTCAAAAATCCGCATGGATTATTGACTCGAGTGCTACAGATCACATGACATTTGATCTTGGCCAACTTATTAGTCACAAATCATCCACTCCATCGGTGGTGTCTAATGCTAATGGTACCCCCTCCGTTGTGGTTGGGGAGGGCTATCTATCACTCTCTACTTCCCTACATTTGGATTCTGTATTGCTTGCTCCATCCTTGGACCATAACTTGTTGTCTGTTGCACAACTTACTACTACTTTGGGGTGTGCTGTAATATTTTGGCCAAATCATTGTGTTTTTCAAGACATCTTCACGGGAAAGACGATTGGTTGTGGTACTCGGTGGGGCAAACTCTACTACTTGGATTGGGCATCGGATAGTGAGACCAAGGTTGGTCAACCTTTCACAACCAATGGAACTCGTTATGAGGGGGAGATAGACAAAGTTTGGTTATGGCATAAACATCTTAGGCATGCCTCGTTCGGTTATCTTAAGAAGTTGTTTCCATCATTATTTTCCAGTCTTGATGTTTCCAGCTTCCAGTGTGATATGTGTGAATTGGCTAAGAGTCATCGTGTCCCGTTCCCATTAAGTTCAAATAAGAGTTTGGTTTCGTTTTTTCTTGTTCATTCTGATGTTTGGGGACCTGCTAAAATTGCCACTCCAGCAGGAGTTCGATGGTTTGTCACGTTTATAGATGATTGCACATGCATGACTTGGATTTCCCTTCTCAAAACTAAAGGGGAAGTCATTTCCAAGTTTCAACAGTTCCATCAAATGGTGGAGACTCAATGTCATGCCAGAATTCAGGTTATTTGTTCTAACAATGGCGAAGAATTTCTCAACCATGATCTTAACCAGTTCTTACAAGATCATGGCATCATACATCAACGTTCATGCCCCTACACTCCCCAACAGAATGGAGTTGCTGAAAGAAAAAACATACATTTATTGGAAGTAGTTCGTGCCTCTCTTTGGTGCTAATATGCCACGATCTTTTTGGGGGAGACAACTTCATCAATCGGATTCCCTCTAGTATCCTAAATTTCGAAACACCACTTCAAACACTTCACCACCATATCCAAATACCTCCCACCCTAAACTTGGAACCCCAAATTGTTGGCTGTTTTGTATTTGTCCACTTACATGATCACCAACGAAGCAAATTGGATCCCCGAGCTGAAAAGTGTGTTTTCATTGGCTATGCACCTCATCAAAAAGGATACCGATGTTATCATCCTCCTAGTCAAAAGGTCTATACCTCCATGGATGTTGTATTCCAAAAACACGAGTTATATTTTTCAGCAGCACAAAAGGAGAATTGAGAATCCACCACTCCTCGAATTCTCGATTTTTTTCCCCAGGACCTCACTCTTCTTCAAAACGACCAGTCGCCAGAGGAAAGCAATCGGTCGCCCCCCTTAGGCTTGGTTTGGGGTTGCTGTGCTTAAAAAATAAGCAGCTTTGAAAAGAAGTTTTGGAGGTTTAAGTGTTTGGTAAAACCAATCCAAGCTGCTTATTTTAAAATCTGCTACCATTCACAGCCAAAAACAAGAAGCAGCTCACACCCTGCTTCTAAAATCTGCTGCGCGGAGAAGCTTGCGGAGGGTTTAATGAAACTTTCAAATTGCCCATATTGCCCATATTTGTTTCAAACAATTACATGCTTTATCCTCGTCATCCCGGGTTCGAGCCTCCCAAGTGTCATTTCTCTTGGATTTTCTGGCTTGCTCGATTCATCCTCTCTCTGCAACCTGCTCCCCTTCTCAATCCATCAAAGCTACCATCTCAACCCAAAACCCCACCAACCCACCTCCCTATTTTACAGACCCAGAACTTCTTCCCCTCCAACCCAAAAAACCCCAACCTTAGCTCCGCACTTTATCATCTTCACATCCACAAAAAATCCAACATCCAGATTACCCACCAGTTATCTCCTCCAGCAAAAGAAAAGCAAACCCCCAACTTCCTTGTCTTCCCCAA